CCAAATATTTTCAAATTGATCGTCTCGTCTCGACATCAAGATGCATGGACATAAGGAAAAAATGGATTTCAAGTTTTGGAAATAATGCATCGTGTAATGCATTTTTGAATCATCGATTTCAAGATTTTCAAGTTTTCGTGGATCTGCTCAATCTACACTACTTTTGAAACTTTAAATTTTATAATTAACTATGAAAATATATTTTAAGGGAAAAAATTTATATAAGGTTGCAACCTTAAAATCTAGAATTAAAGTTACACCTCAAAAATCTATCCGAAAAGGTTGCCTTAATGTTGAAAAGCCCTCTAATTGATCCATCTCAACATCGAGAATTATGAATGTGCAAAACCAAAGATTTTGAGTCCCATATATAGTGCGTCTTGCAACACATTATCTAGACCGTCTATTTTCAAGACTTTTTATATATTTATAGATTATTTGATTTTTATTATTTTTGGAGTTCAAAATTTTATAATTAAATATGGAAATAGATTTTGAGATAATCATAATAATTTTTAACACCAAAATTACATGTTATGATAAAATTTGGAGATGCCCCATAATTGGATTGTTGAAGGTTGCAACCTTATAGAAACCACACCCATCTTTTTAATATGGGTGCGGTTTGTATAGAGCCTAAGCTCTAAAAAATCAAATTAGAGACTACCTTAAAATAGTGTTGAGAAATGTGGTTTCATTACTAAAAATCTTTGTGATCGTGTTAAAATATATTTTTATTTTTATTTATAAAGTTTAAAGCTTTAAAAATAGTGTAGATTGACATATCTATGAAAAATTGAAAATCTTGAAAATTGACGATCAAAATATGTAACAAAATACACTTTTTTATTGACAATATTATATATTAGATTTATTTATATAATAACACCATTCAGGAGTCGGGTCAACATGGAGCCGGATCCAGACACAAATGATGTTCCAGTCCAATATTTTACCCGGGTCGACTCATTGGGTCCAATTGTTGGCCCAGATCGGGTTAGCAAACGTCTTCTTATTTCACAACACAAATTCCGCCGCCGCACGCCGCTAAATATTTCGAATAAACGAAATTATTGGAGTTGATTGGCATTAAAGATAACGGTTATATTTTTGGTTCACGGTGACAAGGACGTAATTAATCGGAACAGAGTAGAGTGAGAAAGAGACGCGGGAAGGGAGGGGTCGAAACCTGTATTTCGAGGAGAGAGAGAGTGAAAGTTGTCCACGTCAGCAAGGGGAGGTCTAAGTCCATGGAACTAAGTGGGGTCATTAGAGAAATGTTATTTAATAGGATTCTCTGCAGATTCTGCACGCGCTTGCGCTCCTCCTCCAAAAATACCACTGCCACTGCCACCGCACTGCAACACCCCTCTCTCTCTCCCCCTTTCATTGCTTTTACCTCTGCAACAACAGGGCAGAGCCCACCTCTCTCCTGACCTCACACAAGCGTACCCCTCTCTCTCTCTCTCTCTCTAAAGCAGAGGATCCCCACCTCTCTCTCTCATCAATGACACAGTCACCTCTCTGTCTCTTCTAAAGCTTATGCTTTTCTTTACTCAGTAGTTCCATTACCCTGTTCCAAGCCTCTTCCTCGTCATTACTGTTTTGGTAACTGGTCCGTCTTGTTGCAAGGCTCTTCCTCGCCATTACTGTTTTGATAACTGGTCCGTCTTGATCCTCCTCATAGAGAAAGAGAAGAGATTTGATCTAGTGTTTCTTTGAGAGAGAGGGGTGTCTGTAAGCATGAGTAAAGATAAGCTGGTGATAGAGGTAGTAGCGGCCCACAATCTCCAGCCCAAAGATGGACAGGGCTCTTCGAGCCCCTTTGTCGAAGTCCACTTCGAGAACCAGAGGCTCCGCACCCAGTCCAAGTTGAAGGACCTTAACCCTGTGTGGAATGAGATGCTTGTCTTCAACATCGGCGACCTCGCCGACCTCCCCTACCGGACGATCGAGCTCAACATATACAATGAGAAGAAATCAGGGCTTAGCCGAAACTTCCTCGGAAAGGTCAGGATATCAGGTTCAAGTGTTCCCCCTCATGGCCAAGAGGTGGCTCAGCTCTGCACCCTCGAGAAAAGAAGCCTCTTCTCTCACATCAGGGGTGAAATAACCCTCAAGGTCTACCACACAAACGACCCGAAGATTGTAGCAGCATCACCGGGTGGTGGTTCTGTTGTTTCGGCAGAGGAGCCGAAGCCTTCCGATACGAAGAAAGAAGCCAAAGCTCAAAAGCAGCAGCAACAACAACTTTCTTCTAGCTTGAATCAGCAGCAAGCGATGCAGCAACAAGGGAAGGCTCCGGAGCAAAAACAGAGCAATGAGAAGCCGCCTGTGATAGTTGCTGCTGCGGGTCCTATAGCTTCACAACCGCCACCCCAGCAGCAACAGCAGCCAAGCGAATACAGTCTCAAGGAGACGAAGCCACAGTTAGGCGGAGGGGCTTTGTTCAGGGACAAGAGTAGCTGGACCTATGACTTGGTGGAGCAAATGCAGTATCTCTACGTACGCGTGGTGAAGGCGAGAGACCTTCTGACCAATCTTACTGGCGGGTGTGATGCTCACGTTGAGGTGAAGGTGGGGAATTACAGAGGGGTCACGAAGCCGCTTGATAAGAGGGGAGGGAACAACTTGGAGTGGAACCAGGTGTTTGCATTTTCAAAGGATTGCATTCAGTATTCAATGGTGGAGGTGGCAGTGAAGGAGAAGGATGACACATTGATGGGGAGAGTGGCATTTGATTTGAGCGAGGTGCCCAGAAGGGTGCCACCGGATAGTCCGTTGGCTCCTCAGTGGTACAGGCTCGAGGGCAAGGGCAGGGGTGAGGTGATGGTCTCAGTGTGGATGGGGACACAGGCCGACGAGGCCTTTTCAGAGGCTTGGCATTCGAAGGCAGCTGCTGTTCATACAAGTGATGGGCTTGCAGTCATCAAATCAAAGGTTTATCTCTCTCCTAAACTCTGGTATTTGAGGGTCGGAGTGATTGAGGCACAGGACCTGTTGCAGGCTGGAAGTAAAAATGGGGCCGTTAGGTACGCGGAACTGAGTGTGAAGCTGCAATTAGGCAACCAGGTTGCGAAGACCAGGCCTTCTGTTTTGAGGAACTCGAGCCCCCGGTGGAATGAGGACCTGATGTTTGTGGCTGCCGAGCCCTTCGAGGACAGCCTTATGATTGTGGTGGAGGATAGGGTGAGCCCAAACCAGGATGAAGTGCTCGGAGGGGTGCTCATACGCCTTGCCACAGTCGAGCAGCGAACTGATGATAGGACGCCATTGTCAAGATGGTTCACCCTTGACAAGCAGCAAGGCCTAAAGCCCTCCTCGCAGGCCAGTGGGGGTGGCCGGATTCACTTGCGCATGTGCTTAGATGGCGGCTACCATGTGCTTGATGAGTCTGCAATGCATAGCAGCGACCTCAGGCCGACTGCCAAGCAGCTGTGGAAGCCACACATTGGGGTCTTAGAGATGGGAATTCTTGGTGCCGATTCCCTGTTACCTATGAAAATCAAGGATGGTAACGGCACCACTGATGCTTACTGTGTGGCCAAGTATGGCCAGAAGTGGGTTCGAACCCGGACAGTTGTCGATAGCCTCATGCCCAAATGGAATGAGCAGTATACATGGGAAGTATTCGACCCCTGCACCGTGGTTACAATTGGTGTCTTCGACAATGGCCACCTTCATACCAGTCCCGGCAATGGCACAATGCTCCGTGATTCAAGGATTGGGAAGGTGAGAATCAGGCTATCGACTCTCGAATCAGACCGAGTCTACACCCATTCTTATCCTCTCCTACTCCTCCATTCCTCTGGTGTGAAGAAGATGGGCGAGCTCCATTTGGCCTTGCGCTTCTCCTGCTCCTCACTCCCCAACGCTTTACATCTCTATATGATGCCCCTTCTTCCGAAAATGCACTACCTTCACCCCCTCTCTGTGGCACAAGTTGAAGCCCTGCGCTACCAAGCCATGAACATGGTGGCCATGCGTCTAGGCAGGGCTGAGCCCCCCTTGTGGCGTGAGGTGGTTGAGTACATGCTAGACCTCGACTCCCATATGTGGAGCATGCGTAGAAGCAAGGCCAACTTCTTCCGCCTCATGTCGATTCTCTCCTGTGTGGTCGGGGTCGGTCGTTCGGTTGAGTCGGTGTGCGGTTGGAGGCGCCCAGTGGTCTCCACCCTTGTTCTGGTGATCTTTCTTATAGTGGTCTGTTACCCAGAGCTTGCTCTCCCAACCCTTCTAATGTACCTCTTCATGCTCGGGCTTTGGCGTTTCAGGCGAAGGCCGAGGCATCCCCCTCACATGGATACACGCCTCTCACATGCTGACTCCGTGTCGGTTGACGAGCTCGATGAGGAATTCGATACATTTCCGACGAGCCGGAGCTCAGACGTGGTGAGGATGAGGTATGACAGGCTGAGGAGTGTGGCGGGTAGGATACAGACAGTGGTGGGGGACATGGCGACGCAGGGGGAGCGGCTGCAGTCGCTGCTCAGCTGGAGGGACCCGAGGGCGACCTCGCTGTTCCTCACATGGTGCCTAGCGGCTGCAATCGTGTCTTATGCTGTTCCATTTCAGCTGCTGCTCACTGCGGCTGGTTTGTATGCACTGCGCCCGCCCAAGTTCAGGAGTCGTTTACCTTCGCCTGCACTCAATTTCTTCAGGCGGTTGTCTGCAAGGGCTGATAGCTTGCTGTGAATGATGGGGCTCTCCATTAATGGAGAAAGAACTGAATAATATTGAGTCATGGGGTTCTCTGTTTGGTTTCAGTTGATGATGGTGGAGTTTTGGTTCCCCTGGTTGTATGGTTGGGGGCAATTTTGGGAGCTTCTTCTTGGTGGTGTTGGTGTTTTACAGTGTCTTTACGTGGTTTGGATGTATGCTTTACTGGGTTCTGCTATAGTTTTGTACAGAAAAGGGGGTGGGGTTTATTCATGTGCTTTACGATTTGATTGCTACCGTGGTTCATATATTTGCAGGGATTGATCCCTTTCTTTTGTTTCTTGATTACATTTTATTTTGTTTGTTGATTTTTAGAGTGTCAATATGAACTCTCCTGGTCCAGCCTGGTGAACATCAAACAAATTTATCCTCTTAAATTCTTATTTGTAAATTTGGGTTTTAAGCTGGGCTTGGGAACTCGCACCCAAAACGGATACAATTGGACTTTTTCATTTTGCAAAAGGGAAGTTTACGTACAAGCCGGACTTTTATACCTTTTTTTTCGTCCAGTTTGCCTTAGGTTCGATGTTTTAAACGTCCGATCGTATTCTGTTTAAATTTTGTAAGTTATGCAAACGGTACGATATAAGAACCATCAGATCGCCTTCATTTGACATTGTTATGAAAATTAAGCGGTCCGATGGTTCGAACTTCGGGCCACATGTTGAATTTTGTAAGTTAACTAAGTAATCCGATGTTGAAACCATCAGACCATATTATGTTGCAATTTTTTATAAAAATCAAGCAGCCCCATGGTTGTAAAATTGAATTACATTATGTGGAATTTTGTAAGTTATGCAAGTGGTCCGATGTTAGAACCATCAGACCACCTTTTTTTGACATTTTTTTTTTATGAAAATCAAGCAGTCGGATGGTTCTAACATCGGATTGCATTTTGTTTATTTTGAAAGTTAACCAAGTAGTATGATGTTAAAATCACAAGACTGTATTCTGTTGCAATTTTTATGAAAATCAAGTGGTTCAATAGATCTAACATCGGACCGTATGCGGTAGTCATTACGGTAATACGACTATTGTGAAGGCTATTTTGGTAAATAAATGCAAAAAATTGAGGAAAAAAGGTTTGGACAAAGATTATGAAAGTTGAAAGGTTTTTTTTTTCTTCCAATTAGATGAAAATTAAGTTATATTTTTTTATAATTTCGCAAGAAATTAAGATTTTTGAAAACTCAAAAAACACATACGAGAATATTTGAAGATGGATAAGAAATTTTTGAAAAAAACATTTGGTAAGTAGTTTAGGCTCATGCTACCATGGAGCTCTTTAAGCAGTTCAACATCATGCAGTGATGGATGTTTTGTACTTGCCCCGACTCTTTTATGTCGCATGGGTTTGATGTTTATTGAGATTAGGTATTCGATCTTTTTATTGTCATACATGTTAGATATCTTCCTGTCTCGGCTCATTTACGTCACACAAGTTTGATATTTTAATTGATATTTTTCCGACTGCTTTACATTATATGGGTTGGACGTCTTCGTGTCTCGGTTCTTTTACATCGCACGAGTTTGATGTTTGATTGAGATTTCCCAGCTGTTTTATGTCGTATAGGTTGGATGTCTTTTGACATAAGTTTGTTGGCCCATTTCAGCTCGTGTCACCTTGAAGCCTGTAACTCTGAAGGTGAGTTGATTAAAAAGATGTTTGAGAACCTTGGATGTGTTGGTTATAACGGGGGATTTGCTTCGACTGCTCAGATTGTCTCCCAATACACTTTTTTGCTTTCTTCTGAGTATTGCATGTTCCCCATTTCATTTTTCTCATTTTGTTTTCTCATTTTTCTAGATTTATTTACTTACACTGACATGATATATGGCAAGGCACGATGCACAACAAGGGGCGTGTTGGGCATGTGACCAACACCAGAATGACTTCGATTCCTTTTATTCTTAGACTCCTACTTCGATTTAGATTAGGATTTTCTCGTTTTTTTTATTTATAGGACATCTTTTGAATGGAGTTTTCTTATTTTGAACTTTTTCCTTCTTATTTTCCTTTCTTTAGGCTATTTTTCTCCCTTTCCGAGATCCAACAATTTCGCAGGTGTTCATCTTCTAAACTTCATCAAGAATTTCCTTTGATAGCTCCAAAGAGAAGTATTCCACTTTCGACTTCTGAAACAGAGAGGTAAGAATCTTCTTCTTCTTTCAATGAGGTAGTTCGCTTTCCGGAATCTCTTACCATTCATATTCCCAAAAGTATCTTAAAAGGAATTTGGGCCAATGTTCGAGGTCGTCCTGTTTTCCCTCCTTAGTTCCAATCTTGGTATGCTGTGGCAGGCCAATGGGAAGATCTAAAATCTTTCCTTAGGATCTATTCTCTTCAAGGCACTTTTCTATTGCTAATCTAAAGAAGCAAGTTCAAGAGCTTTTTAGTCAGCTGGAAGTCATTAGAAAAAGAAATACTAAGGCAGAAGAGGCTCCCCCGAAGTTTACAGCTTCAAAATCATTATTGGGGTTTATTTCATACCCGAAATCTCGACAAACTTGGGGTCACTAAAGGATCACCTTATAAAGATGCTATGGTGCTACCAAAATGGGATCTCTATAGTCACCAAGCCCATCAAATTATGAGAAAGATGGACTATCGGGCCATGTCTAACCAAAGACTAAAAGATGACAAAGGGATGATTGCTCCATTCAAGGCCATTGAAGTAGGTGCTGCTCGGCATGACGCAAGAAATGAGATTGGATATGCCAAATTCCCTCACTCGTCTTCCCAACAGTATGAAGTTAGCCATGTAATCAGTATGGTGGTCCTTCCTGATTTATTACTTGTCTTCTGAACCTTCACCCTCATCTCCTTTACCTTACGAACCTCCCCTTTCTCCACCTGATTCTCCCCAAGTTACCAGGCTCCTCAAGATTCTTTCCCTTCACCTTCTGAACCTCCTCCCTCTGAGCCATGTTCTCATCATCCCATCCAAACATCCCAAAATTCACCCCGCCTGCCATCCAACCCCCCTCTTCTTGAAACCGACCCTTCTCAGGTTGTGCAAGAAATTGAGATAGCTTCTATGTCTCGAATCATTAAGACCCTAGTCGAGGTGGAGATGGTAAGAGAGTTGACAACTCTTGGCCAGAAGGTGGAAGCATTTGAAGTTGAGGAAGAGCCCTCTGACCCTCTGACTGCCGGTGAAGTAGAAGTCGAGGAGGGCCCCGAAGTGTTGGAAGATGGTGGACAGGCCGCTGCTGATGATTTAGAAGAGATAAATATGGGAGATGAAGCTGACCCAAGACTGACCTTCATCTAAGCCATCATGTCACCAGAAGAAAGGAAGAGTACACCACCTTCCTGCGAGTGAACCGCGATATTTTTGCTTGGCACTATCATGAGATGCCCGGCCTTGACCCTCAGGTTGCATTCCATTGACTTGGTATTGACTCATCCCTTAAGCCCATAAAGTAGAAGTCAAGAAGGTTTCCATCTGACCTTGAAATTCAGATTGATGCTGAAATGATTAAGCTTAGGGTAGAGGGTTTCATCCGAGAGGTCAAATATCAAAAGTGGTTGACCAATGTTGTGCCGGTCAAGAAGAAGAATGTGCAAATCAAGGTTTGCATCTACTTTTGTTACTTGAATGCCACATGTTCGAAAGATGACTTTCCCCTCCCCTTCATTGAGATGCTCATTGATTCTACAACACATTGTCAGGCCTTCTCTTTGATCGACATGTATTCGGGGTACAATCAGATAAGGATGGCATCTGAAGATGAGGAGGCTATTACCTTCTTGACTCCTAAGGGAGTTTATTGCTACACAATGATGCCATTCGGGTTGAAAAATGCAGGTGCTATGTATCAACGAGCCATAACTACAATCTTTGATGACATGTTGCATAAAGAGGTAAGAGTGTTATGTTGATGATTTGGGGCTGAAATTGGGAGAGAGAAATACCCATGTTCGTGATCTTGAACGGGTGTTTGAGCGGCTTCGTCTTCATTAGCTTAAGATGAATCCTTTGAAGTGTGCCTTTGGTGTACGGTCTAGGAAATTCTTAGGGTTCATTGTTATGTATCGAGGGTTGGAGATTGAACCTGTTAAGATCAAAGCAATTCAGGAAATGCCGCCACCGACTAATCTTTGAGAGCTTAGATCTCTCCAAGTCAAGCTTGCCTACATCCGAAGATTCATCGTCAATCTCTCAAGATGTTATAAATCCTTTACATGCTTATTGAGAAAAGACGCAGCCTTCGAATGGGATGAGGCATGTCAATTACCCCTAGAGGACATCAAAACCTATTTGTTGAACCCCCCAGTATTTTATGCTTCTATGCCAGGGAAGCCTCTCATTTTATATGTGACCGCTTGCGATGAGTCACTTGGTGCACTCCTCACACATCATAATGAAGAAGGGAAGGAGACCGCCTTGTATTACCTCAATCATAGGATGGAAGTGCTTGAGAAGAATTACTCCTTGGTTGAAAAGATGTATCTTGCCTTGATCTTCGTGGTCCAAAAGCTCCGCCATTACTTACTCGCCAAAGAAGTCCAGCTCATTTTAAGAGCTGACCTCATCAAATTCCTCATGTCATGCCCTTGCTTATCAGAACGACCTCATCAAATTCCTCATGTCATGCCCTTGCTTATCAGGACGTCTGGTGAAGTGGTCACTGCTACTGATGGAATTTGACGTCACCTATGTGCCACAGAAAGCCATCAAAGGCCAAGCCCTGACCGACTTTCACGCATCCCTTCCTGTTAGATTCTCCCTTATCACGTGATAAAGAGGTATTTGTTATAGATTATTTTTCGAAACTTGTATCTCGGATACAAATAAGGAGGAAGCTAATTGCAACCTAAGCCTATAAGTACCAGAATGCCTGCAGAATACAGAAGCACTGTTCAAATAAACCCTGATCTGGAGCGAATTTTTGAAGGGCTTCGGATTGGTCCCAAAACTTATGAGGGGGTAGCACTTGAATCCCTAAGAACACCTTCCAACTTTCGTCGCGATCCGATGAAGTTAAGGTTGATCAGACTTAAAAGCAATTTTAAAATTCAACCCTTAACATGCTGAAAAAGCATCGTATTATTATAGACCTATCGCCAAGGTCTCAGGTGAATACCATACCACTTCCCTTGGATTCAAAAGGTTTGAAAAGCCCCAGATATCAAATTTCAACTCATTTGGAAGATTCTAGACAATTCTGTAGCCAGCTTACCCAAAAAGGGTAGGTTACACACTATTCTTGTGCACTCTCGGTGATTTTTGAGGTATTTTCCATCACTTGTATCCTTAGTGTGAATAAGGAG